GTCAATATGCTTAAACAGTCTGTCGTACGACAAATGTAATAATATCACCCTGAGACCAAATTGCGTTACTGAACTTGTGCTGAATAAGATTGATGGTATTGCATCATATTGGGCAATTGAAAGAAACGGGATGAGCAATCTGTCGACGAATGAGTCGCTTATTATAATTGCTTATTAATGAACGTCTCGAATGTTAGACACTTCGGGACATCTTACGCCGATTTAATATTAATTTTAATACATTAATGTTGCATATACCGGATTGAGACCTCAATGCATCGTGAGTTATTTAGAAAAGAAGTCCATTGTTGTTTCTCATAATGTTATTTTATTTGTGTACTATGTGAGAAATGGGGTGTGACACATTTGTGAATCTAAAGCAAGTCTTAACAAGTTCAAAAAGTGCACTTTCCTCCGACTAAGAATAATTAATTCTTTAACTGCGAGATTTCATAGCATGCTGACTGAGATGCTGAAACTTTTTACGTTTCTCTCGCAGGCAGTCACGTCGCGCTCTCATCAGAACGTAAATCAATGTTGAAACGATTGTTTCGTGCAAAACACAAGTCCCTGCCACGCTCGCGCGAGAGCGAAGAATTAACGGTCGGAAAATTGCGAAAACGATGCGCGGTTCGTCCTTGCAAGCCTGAAGGAGCGACACTTAAGCCTACAATGTGCTCTTTGCGTCTAGAAACATTCTATTTTATACAAGTAATTCAAAGCGCTTAAAAAAATTGATCGACAACGTACAATGTGTAATAAAAAATTTATCAACTTGCACAATTTTTTCAAATGCATTTAGGTCCAGTTTCACCGAACGTCGCTCAACTTTAATCTTAGTTTAATTCATGTTTGTCTCCTTCTAAAGTAACAGTTGGAAAGAGACGAAGAACGAATTAAGCTAAGCTTAAAGTTAAGCAACGTTGGTGAAACCGGGCCTTATTGGCTACAAAAGAGAATGTTTCTATACGCAAGGAGCACGTTGTAGATCAGGCTTTAAATAAGCGATCGACGCGATATATCTGAATGGTATCTGACAATGGGAGACAAGGATAACGCGCGGAAAGAAATTGGCGCGAGCGAGGACACGCTTTCGCGCACGTCGCGCGAAATCCCTCGCCTTCGATATGTCGTTCTCCGGCCAAATAAGTAAAACTGACGTCACGCTTCCCTGTAAGAACATAAGGACGCCCACTGGAATCGCTTCCCTCTCGCGCGTCTCCCGCGGATACCCTCTTTCAAATCAACTGGACGTACACTAGGAATCACTGATGCCTTCCCACATGAATTTGTGCACGTAGCAACACATTTATAATATTTTGCATTTACATACATGGAAAGTGTATGTGTGTTCTACATGTGCCTAAATACATATGGAAAGGCATCAGTGATTCCTAGGTATTCATAGTCAGAGCTTATATTCAAGTCTTAAGACCATCTTTAAGCCCGTATTAGGTCGGTATTTATAGTCGGATCTTTTATATTCAAGACAGTCTTGAATTTATCTAAAGATGCTGTACGGAACGTTGGCTACGGAGCATCTAAAGATGATCTTGAAACAGTCTTGAATATAAGATCTGACTATGAATACTGACCTCAGACTGCGGATTGAGATTAGATTGAAACTTGACCAATCGGAGTAAAGTTTACTAATCTAAAGTTCAGTGACTTTTACTCTAATTGGTGAAATTTCAATCTAATCTCAATCCGCGGTCCGATACGAGCTTTAGATGCTTCGTAGCCAATGAAATGTTCCATACAACATCTTTAGATAAATTCAAGACGGTCTTGAATATAAAATCTGACTATAAATACGGGTATTACGTCCATCACTACCAATGCAGATTAACTTCGATCTCGGTTTAACTTACTTTTTATCTTTTTAAAATTCGCGTCTTTACTTGCTCGTTTCTTCGCGCGCGAAATCGATCTTTTTAACCAAATTTCGTAAGATTTAACGGCCTACACTAACCAATGTATTTATTAAAAAATTACAACGTTTCGGCCCAGGGTTTGGGCCCTTATCAGGTGATCTGAAATCGCAAATTGCAAATTACAACAAACCAATGCCGAACACTTATCGTAAATCAACCCGAAATTCATACCTGAATAAAATTTACCGCGTCGTTAGTCAGTCGTTTGGTCAATACCATTGCACAGTGATAAATTGGGTAAAGACAAGGGAAAAGTCATTAGACTTTACACACTCAACAACCCGAATCGATAACGGTATAATGACTTTTCTCTTGTCTTTACCCAATTTATCACTGTGCAATGGTATTGGCCAAACGACTGACTAACGACCTATGGGGGGAAGGAAAGAGAAAGAGAGTAGTACGAGAAATCGATTAACTACCGGGCGTTAAAAGCGCGAGAAATCTCGCGACGATGATTATGACGATAAGAACGATCGGGAGTGGGGCACGAGCGAGCGGTGTGTGTCGAGATGAGACACACTCGTTTTCAGTCTTTCGCGGCCCGCTCGCGGGGCTATGATTACGCAGTCGCGGTTGCGAAGCACCCACGTCGCGATGACGAGCACGCTGGCTGCGACTTCACCTGAGGCAGGCATACAAAGATAGAGATAGAGAGACACACGCGTGTGCGTAGGCAGTGCGCCTAGGTAGACCAAAATCGAATCCCAAAGTGGAGTGAGTCACTCGAGCAAGTAGCTTCGCGCTATTCCTAGGTAAAAAGCACGTACACTACTGCCTTATCTTGAGTGGACCGTGTCGTGTGTAGCCAAGAGAGCGAGAGAGAGATTTCTTTTCCCCGACAAAGAGTGTATACGTATTCTATCTGGCGGAGAGCCAATTATCGCGAGAGCGAAAGTAATATCGGTCGAAGTAGCGGCGAGCGATGACGAGAGGATTGCGTGGCAATGCGCGTGCATCTCTGGTTCTTCATCTCGTTTCGTTTCAAATTTCAATTTGATTTGAAGCGAGCTGCTAGAGCTGGGCCATTGATTCGCGTTGACGACCAATACTTTGGATTGATAAAGTATAATTAATATGTACCGAAATTCACGTGGGAGGTCGTCAGTGATTCCTAGTGCACACTAGACTGATGACTTTCCGTATGAATTTAGGCACAGGTAGAACACATACACATTTTCCTTGTATGTACATGCAAAATGTGTTGATGTGTACCTAAATTCATGTGGGAAGGCGTCAGTGGTTCCAAGTGTACACACAATGTGCTCTTTGCGTATAGAAACATATTCCATGTTGTAGCCAATAAATACTTTAGAAAAATTTGTGCAAGCTGACACGCTGTATATTGTACAGTCGTGCGTTGTCGAGAAATTTTCCAATTTTCACCTGCCTGTATAAAACAGAAGGTTTCTGATCGCAAAGAGCACATTGTAGATCAGGTTTCAAGCGTACGTCGAATATTGTCACCTGGCCCAACCCTGGCCAAGATCGGTGACTTCGGCAAGCGTTGTAGCGGGCCGGCGCCGCGACTCTCGCTATCGTAATTGACCTCCACCTCCATATTTCCAACTATTTTCGATAGTTGGCACGGCTAACTTTAGTCATTTCGTCTTCGGGCTTACGCGCCTTCGGCTCGTCATCGAGATCTCGTCGCTCGCAATTAGTTAACGCGCTCGCGCCTGTGTATTCCAATCTGCGCGCTCGATTTAAATCGCTACCGACACTCGCGCGCTACCGAGTCCACGTTACGTCGGGACGTTGGAGAGCGTCGCCCGGTGAGAATCGCCCTTGTCGCGATCGCCGGGGTCCGCTCGAGGAAGCATGACGATGTTCGCGACGACACCGACCTCGGGCCTTCGTTCGTGCGCCTCTTTGCGATGCGTCGTCGTCGTCTCGCGGTCGACGCCACGGTTCGACCGTCATTGACCTCGTCCATTGATTCTCTTGCCCGACAGGTGGTTCCCTAGGCCCTGATTCATCCCCGAACTTGCTGAACGATGGTCGATTACTACAAAGTGCTCGACGTACAGCGGACCGTTAGCAGCGCTGACATCAAAAAGGCGTAAGTTCGACTCGCCTCAGCCTGCATATTCCCATCCCCCGTTTCGCTGCGAACGATCTCTGACACACGAGTTTCGAGATCTTGCGAAACTATCAACCCAGTCGCGCTTCTAACGAACCGCGCTAACGCAACATCCGGCATATTTTCGTTCCGCAGGTATAGAAAGTTGGCGTTGAAATGGCACCCGGACAAGAATCCAGATAACTTGGAAGAGGCGAATAAAAGATTCAAGGAGATTTCGGAGGCATACGAAGTCCTGAGCGACGGTAGGTTTACGCCGTAGGCACGTTGCCGAGACAATGATAATAATCCCGTACGAGGAAACTGCGGTAAGAGGTGACGTTTCAGTTGCCGCAAACGGCGATTTCATAGCCCGCGAGACGCGCCGTCGATATCAGATTCCACATCTTAATTTGACATGGAATAGACTGCGATATTGAAAATTAAACGGGGGGGAAAGTCCCTATTTTATGGGATAGCGGGTTTCTGTTCAATCAATAGGCATCATCAGTTGATTCCACAATGAATATTGCATTTATGTTATTTCTTACTCAACAATGTAAATACAATATAATATAACACACGTGTTATATTACCTTTACATTGTTAAGTGAGAAATTGTAACATAAATGCAATGTAACTGATGCTCGGTGCTCACTGGGAAGAGATTAAAGTAAATCGTAAATCACTTCTATCGCAATAGTATATTTTTAGAAAATCTGAACAGGTAAATAACGGCCGATATGCATTTAACGCGTGTTCGACAAATAAATATATTTTTGATCGGTTGCCTGACATTAATTTATAGACGTTCCGTTTACACTTGAAACCACGCACTGGTAATTTTGGTCGATTTTACAATGCGGTTTCCTCAAAAGTCAAGGGTAGAATGTAAAGGCCAGCAATATCTTGTTAGTATATCAATTTAAGTTATGCGAGGTCGATTAATTTATTCAATCTCGTGTAAATCGATCAAATGTTCTTGGACGACGCGCGGCTCCGTGCGACAGTTAAAAATACATAGGAAAGATATACGTAGGAAACACAGTTAAAAATATTTATTAAATCACGTCGCCGAAAGTACCGGAATCCAGTCTCAGATTTGTAGGACTAAGGCCCGGTTTCACCAACGTTGCTTAACTTTAAGCTTAGTTTAATTCGTTCTTTCCAACTGTTACTTTAGAAAGAGACAAACGTGAATTAAGCTATGATTAAAGTTAGGCTTGGCCTAATTCGTTCTTCGTCTTTTTCCAACTGTTACT